CCGTTTGGGATCAGCTGCCGCATCAGAGTCTTGAAGTCATTTACGACCATAGGGCGTTGTGTGCTACCCATATAATCTTCATATGCCTCCTTCAGAGGCCTCACGTGGCACCGCTTGCTCGGCTGCAAGATGCACCGGTCCTTGATGAAATTTCCAAAGTGGTCGTTGTCATTTGAATAGCTCTCGAGCGCCTTGGCCATGGCCAGAGGCAACTCTTCGACCGTCGGTAGAGCCCCCCGCTCGTACCACTTCATGCTGCCTCGCACCAGCCAAGCTAGCATCTGCTTCCTCCACTCGGGGGTCTTGATCTTGTCCATAAGATCTGTGTCCCTCAATCTCTGGTGGGTTCCAGGCATCGGCTTCTCAACAAACTCGTGCTCAAATGGAAATATCCGCAGCTTGTTAAGGGTGCCCGTGTCCCTTGCGTTGAACTTTGGCAATGAATTGGTAGATATGATCGGCAAACACCTCATGGTGACCTCGACGGGATCCTTATGTAGCCCTCTTACCGTCATTTTTCCATCACCGGACGCGATTGCCTTCACTGATGCTCCATTGTATACATCAGAGTCCTCCGTCTCTTCGAGGACAGCGATATGCGCTCCATCAAGCATAAGGAGGTGCGGCGTGGCAGCCCCTTCCGAATGCTGACCTGCGCCTATGACGCAGTCGCGGGCCATCGAAACGCAGTAGGGTCCGGTACACTCTCGGACCATGGTGACGAGTTTTGTCTTTGCGCTGTTCGTTGGGCCATGCATGACGCTGAATTGCTTTTCCTTGCTGTGGCCTGTGATGCCGTATCCGAGCGTCATTTGCATAACGGGGACTATGTCCTCGGACAGCACCTCAGCCATGAATTGGTCGATGAGCGGCGATGGATAACTTGCACCCTCATAAAGGGTACAAATCTCCATCGAGAGCATGTTGCTCGGATGGTGAGCATACAGCTCTCCCGTTCGAAGGTCGATAGAGCCGCTTGTGGTGTTGAGGTAGTCGCGATTGGCATTCAGCGAGCTTGCAAAATCCCGCACATGCAAGTTCACTTTCAGAGGGATGAGACACCTATGAGCGATGGGGACAGACTCGACCCCCACCCCCCGCCACACCGGCTCGGGTATCTTCTTCATCTCCATGATGAAGTCTGCGATGATAGCCTTCTCCGCCTTTTCGATGCTCTTCAAAATGTCCTTGTTGGTCTCGTCCGCACTTGGCGAGGCCCGGGATTGCAGCTCATCCAGAGCATTGTCTCTGCAAGTTGTCAGCTGTTTGGACTTCTCGTCAAATGCCCGATCCAGTAGATCGCACCAGTAGGTTTTGATCCGCCCCATGTGGTACATGAACGAAGTCTTCAACAGGGCTGCCTCCGTATCAGAGGGAACCCAGCTTGTTCCATCCCACGTCCAGAATCTCCCCGAGTCGTACACAACCCGTCTGTCGTGCTCGAACAATTTGCTGAATATCAAAGCACTTCCAAAATCACTCTTGCTCACAGTGGACAGCAAGAAGGGATCTGAAAACCTTGCGGCCAGCTCCTTTGAGCTCGACGGCTGATTGTCCTTGGGTCCAAAAGGACCACCCCCAGCTTGCTCAAGAGCAGCGGATATCGTCAAACGCCCCAGCAGCTTTGGCTTGCTGTCGGAGCAACCGGACCCGAAGCAATTGTAGTAGAGCTCCTGGAAGTCACCAGAACATCCTTGAATTACTGTGAAGTTATTAGACCCTCTGTGAGATTTTCCCAGGTAGCACTGGCGCGGGCCAGTGACCCCGAACTGAAACGATCTGTTGCCGTCCGGTAGGATTGTTAAGCCGCTGTAGAAAGAAGAGCAATCCTTTGCCCTCTCTCTCACAAGCTGCTTCACTTCCATGTGTGCCAAGCCCGGAGCCGCCTTGGCTGCAGGCCCGCCAGCCTCTGCGTTGTCGACGGTCTCCAGCACGTTCTCTTGAGGATCGACTTCCTTTTCGTGAGACACTTGGTCCTTTGCATGCCTTGAGACTCCTCCCGAACCGCGCCCCCGGTTGATCAAGCTCACGATCCACGGGGGCATTGTAACGGCACGACTGCGCACCGACTCCTGGCTGCGCGCTGAACTCTCGGCCGCGCATCGTCCGTTGTTATACGACACCGAATTACGGTACGCGTGACCGTCCGATAAGACCCACGTGCACCGCGTACGAGGGAACCGTCCGGTAAGCTTTCGAGACTAAGCTTATGGCCGGCCGAGCACCGAAGCTTCTAGGCTAACACTTCGCGCTGGCGAGCACCGAAGCTTCTAGACTAACACTTCTTGCCGTGGACTCAGAT